CTCATGTTTACAAACAAACCGGAGCGCCCCTAGCGGACACCACCGGCGCCGCGCATGCGCGGTGGATGGTGGGCAAGAAGCCCGCCGTCGCCCATAAACAAACCATTGAATTACGTTGTTGTCGGCGTCGGTGGGAGTCCCCGCCCTATTGGAAAAACGTACAAGAAACAAACCTGCTGCTTGTACAGTCCTGGTATGACACCACCATAATTTATTGTTATTATACATGCAGCTAGTTTGGTTTTGCGTTCTCCATAACTGGAGATACCGGCACCGCTATGGCTCCGGGTCTGTCTATACTGGCAGCCGGTTTGCTCGCCGATATGACTCGGTATGGCTGGTATGATTTTGCGTCCGATGACGTAGGCGACCGCCATCTTTCCAACGAAACGCCTATACCACAAGACCACCGGTATAACTAAACCATACATGCAGAAAGACGACCGCCATCTTCCAACAAAAACGTCCATCGTTTACCACCGGTATCGTTACATACATCATACATGTCGAAAAATACCATAAGCCGCGTTTACATGAATGCGACTTAGTCGCATTGAATCCAGTTGCCGCATTCAATATGCGGTCATGTAAACGGCATAATGCGCAAAGCGCATCGCATTAAAGTCGCTAGACAGAGGTGGATCGAGATGGCGAGTGCGCATTCATTCAGCCCATGTAAACGAAGATCGCATCGCATTTTGGAACGGGGAGGATTATCGGAAGGCGCTCGCTGCGGGAGCGAGTGAACAGCTGAGAACATGGTGGCGGCCAACCTCGTCGGCGGCGCGGAGAGCGGACCCGCAATTTTTTTCCCGAGAACAAACGCAAGCTTTTATTGCGATCATAAGTAAGCGGAATTTAGCGGAGCTGCTCGGTGAGGGCGGCCCCGTCCAAACCTTTGCGAAGTACGACTTGCGCGTCCGAAGGGGTCACAAAGGCTTCGGAGCAAGCACGCATGACAACGAGAGCTCCGAGCACTGTAGAGCACTGCATGGTTGCGCAGAACGAGCAGCTCCTACCTCGCTGCCGTTCCTGGCTGCGCAAGAGCCTCTCGGACTCGGGGTCTGGTCGCGATCGGCGAGGTCTGGCGCGGCGAAACGCGGAGGCTTCCTCAAAGCGTGCACACACACGTCGCCTCTCGTTCAGAGTGGACCGGCGGCCCGGACTGGAGTCCTAAACGCCTTGGTTTTGATGCTTCTTCCGTCTCCCAACTTCTTCCGCAGCACCGAAGACAGCGGGCGCGATCTTTACGTTCACTGAATGCGTCGAAAGGCCTCCACGTGCGATGCACCGGAAAACGTGGTGCGGCTGGTGCCGGAACGGAACTGACGGAACTGCATAACTTCGAGCTTTGAGTCAACGTGCACGGCAACAAACCGATCGTGACACTAAGCCGCGGATACCGCATCGCCGGTCGACAGGGGCAAATGGCCCGTTGCTCGTATCGTGGGCCGTGACTCGTACTCGGCCAACTCGGCGTCTTTTCGTGGCCCCTCGCGTCGTCGCAACCAGCCGCAAACATACCAGCCCGCGACCGTGGCCGATGTCGGAGAAAAGCGAAACCGAAACGTAAAGCTTCCGCCCAGTGGCTTCCGCTGCCGCGCCTTTTCTAACTTCCCGGCCAGTCCCGGTTTACACGCTTCCGGTCGTCGCGAAGATGGCGACGCAGCCAGACGCAGCGGTTTTGGCGCTGGCTCCTGCGTTTTACGGGACAGATGTTTTACGGTCCGTTTCTACTGCGTCTCTGGCTCTCAACTCGACGACGCCTCTCATGGTTCAACCAGGCGTGGTCAGCCGGGGTCAGCACAGCGCGGCCGGCTCAACTCGTCCGATCGCCGGACCGCAGGCGACTTCCGATTTCGGCCGTTAGGCCTAGGATCCGAAGGACTCTGTTTCCGTGAAGCGGTAAGCGAATCTCGCCCCGTTTTCGTTCTACTTTTAAATTACGTTAGGTGCGCTACAGTGTAAGCATGCGTGCCTAGTGTTCGTGACAATTTTGAACTAGAATAATTGTGCTTCATTGCGGTTTGTCATTTACGAAAAAGTAAATCGAGCAATGAACGAGGAGCCATGCTTGAAAACGATGTATGTACGATGTGAACTTCTACCTGGGCGGCTTAAAAAAAAGTCAAGACGGGTTACGGTTGGATGCGAGGCTGGTCCCAATGCAATGGTAACCACTTAGAGCACCTTTCTGAACAGCATGTAAGCAATATAGCGATCAACGAGACGAGCGACGACGAGAAGGTACGAGTGCCGGCGCCGAACGACGAAGATTTCTCACTCTCGCTGCTTGCGCCGCTCGGTTCCTGCACTGTAAAAAATGTACGTAAAATATACGTGCATTTTCACAATCAAAAAATACGACGCGCTTTCGTATTTTTAAAAGATGAGTTGTGATCGTTTCTCGGAGTGAACGGGGCGAAAAGCGCGCGCGGCGAGCCGAGAGCCAGCGGAGCATGCCAGGCGCCTGGACGCCGAGCATGCGCAGAGAAGGGCGAACCCGACCCGTGCTCGACCTCGACGCCCGGAGGCCCCCCTTTCCCTTTCCGGCGCATCGTCGCGTTTGTTCATGTACCGCCAGTACCGCCGCGTGTAGGACGTACTAACAAACTTTCTCTTTACGTCCGCGCGGCAATCACAACCTCGTGGTTTTTGGCGTTGCCTTATAAGCCGTGCCCTCCATTCGTTCGTTGCGGGAAGCGGCGTCCAAAGGTATGCACTACTCCAACAAACTTTCTATGTAATATCGGAGACAATATGAGCGTGAACGCGCCTCCGCTTGTCACTGCGGAAGCGCGTTCACGCTCATATTGTTTCCGATAGCACTTTACCCTTTCGCGCAGCAATCGAAGCCTCGTGGTTTTTGGCGTGGCCTGTTTGGCTGTATCGCGCCGTTCCCTCCGTTCGTTCCTGGCGGAGCGACGTCCAAAGGTATGTGAACACTACTTTATTGCTTCAAAGAAACATCGAAAGGCATAAAAAGAAGGATGGAGCTTTTTGAAATCGGTACTCCAAAGAACATGTTGTATACGCCACAAAGTGCTACTGGTCCCCGCTCTGCATTGCCGTCGGTAGTGTCTGCGGTGCTGCATGAGGACCGAGTGTGAGTGCGTCCTTTTGAATAACTTTTGTATTTAAAATCCAATACATTTGGCGTGTCTTTAAAGGTTCAAATTTCAAACGTGCTTACCTGAAACTGGTCATACAAACATTTTTGAGCCAAGAGTATTATGTTTTTTCTCTTATTCGTCAACTCTGAAACCGTGAAATCTTAAAAACAGAACAAGAACGGCTACAGTGCATATTTTCGTTGCCGTCGGCTCCGGTAATGTAGTACTGAATGCAAAAAAGAAGCCTCCTCTATCCTACAAGAGGCTGGTGTCCAGCAAAATAATCGCGTTAAATAATGATTTGATCGAGGCGTTTGAAAAATTGTGCATTTCTCGGAACAATGTTAGTGCCTTCTTTTTGCAAATCTGGATAGCTCGCCGAGTGAATTCCTGTGCCCCTTGTAAATCGCGAGCGATCTCTCTGTGTGTTGCGCTTGTAGATCGGGAGACGAACTGATGTTCCCAAGGAGGTAGAGCGCGTAGAGCGGTTGAAAGAAATTCGCTGCGTAGTGGTTCCGCATAGGCTCGCGCGGTTGACGTACGTATATTCACTCGCGACATTTCGGTTTCGATGTTTATGCCGCCGTGTTCGTCACAGCCGCGACAGCGATCGTATCCATTTCGCTGGCAGTACTTTTGATGTCATGTTACCAGGAAAAACAACCGGACGAACGGTTGTTTTTCCCATTTCGTTCTGGGGACGCCCAAACGAATAAGCAAGACGAAAGAAAAACAAAAAAAACAGGTGCAACCTTTTTTTTGTGTAATGTAGATCTTTCATAAATAAACGTTTCATTTTAAAATATTTGTTAATCTGGGTAATTGGTCATTTAATTTGTAAAAATAAATCTTCATCGCAATTATATCGTTCATCGCCAGCTGCAAACTTTGCCAGCGTGCCAAACGTGCCGGCTTTTACAGTCACACCGAGTACATTTATGCAGACGGTAAGTTCAAAAAGGTTTCCGTTACCTGGTCCATGCAAATTCAAGCGTGTACATAATGTTAATTTGTTTTTCATAACTTTTTTCTTACCCAAACATGTATCACTGTTTTGTGTGGCTATGTGACCCTGTGTTATGTTGTGGCGGAAAGTGAGTCATGTACAGGGTGTCACAAAAGAAAATTTACACGGTCTTTTTCACCGCAAAAATAAACTAGGCATCGCCGAACGCTCATTCTCCGCCCAAAGGTAGAGCTAGAGGTCACAACCAGATGCCAAAGTTTCAGCCCGATCCGATAACTCAATCAAAAGTTATAAGTGATTTTCTGAAAATTTCAATGGGAAAATGGAGCCCATTTTCGCCCGTTTTCGGTTTCTGGTGCCATAGAGCCCCATGTGTTTGAAAACGCCGTCGGCCGCCATTTTCCCATTGAAAATTTCAGAAAATCACTTATAACTTTTGATTAAGTCATCGGATCGGGCTGAAACTTTGGCATCTGATTGTGACCTCTAGCTCTACCTTTGGGCGGAGAATGAGCGTTCGGCGACGCCTAGTTTATTTTTGCGGTAAAAAAGACCGTGTAAGTTTTCATTTGTGACACCCTGTAGAATAACTGACATCAGCAACATCTCAAATTATGTGTACACCACTTGACTAACTCTATCAATGAGTGTGTTGGTATAAGTAGGCCAAACATCAAAAGGCAAAACGGAAGTGTGCAGCGCTTTGGAATCAGACAGTGCATATTTTCTGGTCTATAGACCTTTGCAGAAATCCCCTGCTGCGCGCTGCCATCTTTGTCTGCTGGGCTGTGGAACGCCTTCTAAGCATGCGCTGTTGATCTGCTGAGCGGTATATCGGGCGCTGCGCATGCGTCCACAGCTCAGTGACTCAGCATTTTTTACCCGCTCGCTTCGTTCGAGACTGCCGCGGGAAGGTCTATAGTCTGCAGACTATGCATGTATAAAAGTTGTTTTTTTATGTTGTGCAGACTATCTACAGATACGGGTTATACTATGCACTAATTTTTGTTTCTAGATCCTTCGTTAGCACCAGACTGGTCTGATTGGCTTGCAGATTTTCAAATGTTTTATGCCGGGATTAAGAAGTGAACGTCACACTTTCAATCTGTTGCTCAGGCTTTCTATGCCTTGCGTGTGACACACTGCTTGCTTGGATGCCTGCAAGCGGTCAATGTGGGTCAAGCTGAGAGCTCTGCGGTTCACCCAGGAGAGGTGCACAAGAAAATCCAGACTTTCGTCCGCAAATATCTTTTGTGCGAGAGGTGCGGACTGACAGACTATGGATGTTAGCTTTTCAGCCTACGTTTTGCCCTGCGGACTATGCATTGAGCGCCAACTATCCAAACGAAACTTATTTTTTAGGCAAAATTGGCTCCTAGGGTCTTTAGACCGGAAAATACAGTACATTAAAGCACTTGTTGCTTACGCTAGAAAGTTAAACGAACCCTGCCGTCAGTGTTCACTGTCTTTTGAGCCATAACTTCCCTGTCAATCATGTTCGGGAACCGACAGTTGGAGCTCAGTCATTAAAATCAGCATAACATGCTGATGGTAATTTAACAGAAAGGGCTTTCGCACCGTCCTCCCTGGAAATTATTTCGCGCGCCTAATTTTTCTCTGTTTCCCCAGACCTACAGAAGGGCTCTTTATGTCCCTCTGTCCGGTGGTGGTCGCAAGCGAGGCCTGCACCGTTATTGCCATCACCATAGTCTGAAGGTATGTATACACCACCTGACAACTTCCATAGAGGAGTGTGCTCAAACATTAAAGGGCCAAATGCCAGCGTGCTGCTCTTTTAAATTGGGCAACACTCCAAACCATGTGTTTTATAGGCAGAAAAGAAGTTTTGTACTTGAGCGGTCTGCGGTGGTGGTATTTCACTCTCTGCGGAGTTGTAACTTTCTTGTGAATCATGCTAGAGCAGCACAATTTGAAGCCAAATCACCAGCAACCATAACATGGGGATGGCTAATTCACATACTCTCTCCTCTGTGGTAATTACTGCAGGCGTCTAATGTTTCTCTTTTTTACCCAGACCTACAGCAGGGCTCTGTCTGGCTCTGCGTCGCTCTGTCCAGTGGTGGTTGCAAGCGAGGCCTGCACCGTAATTGCCATCACCATACTCTGAAGGTACGTATACACCACTTGACTTCTTCCACAGAGGAGTGTGCTCAAACATCAAAGGGCCAAATGCCAGCGTGCTGCTCTTTTAAATTGGGCAACACTCCAAACCATGTGTTTTATAGGAAAAAAAGAAGTTTTGCACTTGAGCGGTGGTGGTATTTCACTCTCTGCGGAGTTGTAACTTTCTTGTGAATCATGCTAGAGCAGCGCAATTTGAAGCCAAATCAATAGCAACCATAACATGCGGATGGCTAATTCACATACTCTCTCCTCTGTGGTAATTACTGCAGGCGTCTAATGTTTCTCTTTTTTACCCAGACCTACAGCAGGGCTCTGCCTGGCTCTGCGTCCCTCTGTCCAGTGGTGGTCGCAAGCGAGGCCTGCACCGTAATTGCCATCACCATAGTCTGAAGGTATGTATACACCACCTGACAACTTCCATAGAGGAGTGTGCTCAAACATCAAAGGGCCATATGCCAGCGTGCTGCTCTTTTAAATTGGGCAACACTCCAAACCATGTGTTTTATAGGCAAAAAAGAAGTTTTGCCCTTCAGCGGTGGTGGTATTTCACTCTCTGCGGAGTTGTAACTTTCTTGTGAATCATGCTAGAGCAGCGCAATTTGAAGCCAAATCACCAGCAACCATAACATGGGGATGGCTAATTCACATACTCTCTCCTCTGTGGTAATTACTGCAGGCGTCTAATGTTTCTCTTTTTTACCCAGACCTACAGCAGGGCTCTGTCTGGCTCTGCGTCGCTCTGTCCAGTGGTGGTTGCAAGCGAGGCCTGCACCGTAATTGCCATCACCGTACTCTGAAGGTACGTATACACCACTTGACTTCTTCCACAGAGGAGTGTGCTCAAACATCAAAGGGCCAAATGCCAGTGTGCTGCTCTTTTAAATTGGGCAACACTCCAAACCATGTGTTTTATAGGCAAAAAAGAAGTTTTGCCCTTCAGCGGTGGTGGTATTTCACTCTCTGCGGAGTTGTAACTTTCTTGTGAATCATGCTAGAGCAGCGCAATTTGAAGCCAAATCAATAGCAACCATAACATGCGGATGGCTAATTCACATACTCTCTCCTCTGTGGTAATTACTGCAGGCGTCTAATGTTTCTCTTTTTTACCCAGACCTACAGCAGGGCTCTGCCTGGCTCTGCGTCCCTCTGTCCAGTGGTGGTCGCAAGCGAGGCCTGCACCGTAATTGCCATCACCATAGTCTGAAGGTACGTATATACCACTTGACTACTTCCACAGAGGAGTGTGCTCAAACATCAAAGGGCGAAATGCCGGCGTGCTGCTCTTTTAAATTGGGCAACACTCCAAACCATGTGTTTTATAGGCAAAAAAGAAGTTTTGCACTTGAGCGGTCTGCGGTGGTGGTATTTCACTCTCTGCGGAGTTGTAACTTTCTTGTGAATCATGCTAGAGCAGCGCAATTTGAAGCCAAATCACTAGCAACCATAACATGCGGATGGCTAATTCACATACTCTCTCCTCTGTGGTAATTACTGCGGGCATCTAATGTTTCTCTTTTTTACCCAGACATTTGTAGTTAACTTTTAGAATTGAAACAAGCCCACAGACATCAAAATAGCTTGTACAGTGGGACACCTGTTCTACAATTTAAATGTAACACAGATTCGACAAACATTTTGCTATTTTTGGATCGTTGACTAATGAAAAGCTGGGTCAATTAAACCAGGATGTCAAATGAACACATTTAACGCACACTTTCAGTATAGGAATCTGCCTCTTCTGGACATTTGATACTTTATGAACCTCTGCCGTTGGTTACATAAGCACAGCATTATGGCAGTATTCATCGGTTATGTTATTTCTTATTTCAAAAACTCTCCCATTTCAGGCCGGAAGTTCACATCACTAAAACTGCATCATGTACAGTTGCCATGTGTGCAAGCTGCGACAGAAAAACTTGTATCACTATGAGAGACACAATAGGCTTCATTCAACAAGTCACAACCTAAGTTTGCCCTGCTTGAAAGAATGGTGTAGCAGGTCTTTCCGCTCATTCAATGCCCTAAGAGTGCACACGTCAAAATGTCACAGTGGGCAGAAATCTCATCACGACGGGAGAGAATATGTTTGCCCTCACGCATTCTGCTCACAAAAGGTTTGGAGCAGACTGGAAATGACCAAACATATCAAAGGCCACATCAGTTCAGGCCTCAAGACAAGTTGCTTCATGGAAAACTGCAGAAGGCAGTTCCAGAACTCAAATACATTCTCGGCGCACATGAGTCGCTGTCATAGTCACCAGGCAAAACCCCCATCGTCATACAGTCAACATGATTATGATAGTGATGGTGCACAACCTAGAACTGACATGGAGAACAGTGAGTCTCTTTCATTCGCGCACAGTGCTGAACAGGCAAACACATCTTGTGAGGGCCCTGGTGAGGCATTGTTAGAAACAACACATCTGGCCTTGTTTTTTATGAAGTTGGAATCAATGCACCTAGTGCCTGCATCAGTTGTCCAGAGTATTGCCAATGAGATGTACTTTCTTGAATCTGTAGCTAAAGACAGCAAAGTTTCAGGCATTTGTAGAGTTCTGGAATGCTTCGATGTCAGCGCAGAAGTATGCCATGCAGTTGTGGCAGAACTGAAAGCTGAGCAATCTCCTCTGTGCCCAGACAGTGGGGTCTTGCGTAGTATGCGTTCGAGGAGCCAGTTCTACAGAAATAATTTTGTCGTGATAGACCCTGTGGAAGTTAAATGTGCGCATGCTAGAAGTTTTCACTATGTGCCAGTGAAGGAAACACTAGAGGCTTTCCTTTCTGACATTTCTGTTCAGAAGCTACTCTCTCGCACAAACGATCTGGAGCCTGGCTTTCTCCAAGACATCACTGATGGGAAGCTCTATGGAGAGTCCAATTTTTTTATTGCTGGTGAGAACACCATTCAGCTACTATTATTTCAGGATGCATTTGAAGTTGCTAACCCTTTAGGATCTGCCAGAAAAAAACACAAAATCTTGGGGATGTACTACACCATCGCTAACATGCCACCATTCGCTCAAACAAAAGTTCATGCGATGCAGTTAGTAATGTTGTGCTATGAGTCCACCTTACAAAAAGTGGGACATGATGTTGTGATGAAGTCTCTTGTATCAGACCTTGCAGATCTTGAAAAAGATGGTGTTACAGTAAATGGAGTCAGATACAACTGCGGCTTGTTGTCATGTCTCGGTGACAACCTCGGAAGCCACGGGATAGGGGGCTTTGTAGAGTCGTTTTCAAGGTCAAAATATTTCTGTCGCTTTTGCGAAGTGACAAGAGATGCCTTTATGGCCGATTTTAGATCGATGGGACCTCGCCGTACGGCTGAGAGCTATGAAAAATGTCTAAAGCGCATCAAGGAAGAAGGACTAGACTCATGTCTTGGGGTTAAGTTTGACTCATCCCTAAACTCACTCCTGAGTTTTCATGCCACGTCTGGCCTGCCCCCGTGCATTGCTCACGACCTATATGAGGGTGTAGTCCCATATGACCTATCGCTTATCCTTCGGAGACTCGCCATTGAGAAGAAGTGGTTCAGCATTGAGGAACTCAATTCAAGAATAGCGAACATGAAGCTTAAGGGGCATGACTCTAAGAACCGGCCGTGCAAAGTTTCCTGTGAAGGAAACTGTAGAGGAGAGGGAGTAGAGACATTTTATCTTGTCAGATTTTTGCCCGTCCTGCTCTTTGACAAGGTCAGAGATGTGGAAGGTGAGGCGTGGCAGCTATACCTCATCCTAAAAGACATTGTAACCATCTTGGCATCGCCTCAACTTCATGTGACTCAAATAGAGTACTTGCGTGCTCTCATTGATGACTATTTGTCCCGTAGGGTACATCTGTTTCCTGGCATAGCTCTAAAACCCAAACATCATTATCTGAGGCACTACCCCGACCTCTGCTACGAATACGGTCCATTGTGCCATTTGTCAACGCTTCGCTTTGAGAGCAAGCATTCCTACTTTAAGCGAATCATACGCAGCACTCAAAATTTCAAAAATATTACTTACTCTATGGCAAGGAAGCACGAGATGCTTCAGTCATATTGCAGAGCGGGCAAGCTTTTTCCAGATGAATTGCTTCAAGAGCATGCATTGTCTTTTGTAGAGGGAATGTATTCAAAAGAACTCACTGATGGTGTAGTGAGCTGTGGCATTCAACTGTCAGCTGCTGAAGTTAGTCAAACATTGGTGTATCGAGGGACAGAGTATGTGGCGGGGTCGGTAATTTTTTTCCAACAGTGTAGGGAGCCAATGGCTGGCAAAATAGTTTGCTGTATCGTTGAGCACGGGAAGGTTGTGTTTGCGGTAGAGGCATGCAAAATAACAACATGGGCAAGCATGGGACTGAAAATTGTAAATTGTTGCAGAGGTAGTTTTCTGTGTGTTGCTTACAGTCAGCTTCTGGATTTTTCTCCTTTGCACATTTATGCCTGTGGAACAAGGAATGTGGTTTCCTTGAAACATGATGTGGAATATACTCCTTACCTGTAGAGCCCTGTGTATCTGTGGGTATCCACAGTGAACTGGTGGATGCAATATCTTAATAAAAAGAAAATCAAACAGCTTATGAAGTGTGACTGCGAGGGAATCTTTTTTAATTCACGCTTGTGTTTATGATATAGGAGAAATGTAAAGGAACACTTTGGATGACCGGTAGAAAAGAAAGTCGAAGATACAGTTCAGGTGTGGGTATAAAGTCTCCAGATGCAGATTGCATGATCAGATCGCTGTATTCATGCAGGGTTTTGCATATCTGTAGTTCTCATCACAGTGATGCTTTGCCAGGCTCCTTAACGCTTTAGAATGCCTTTATAAAAATAGCTAAGTGTCTCCTGTCACTTTTTTTTTTGATAGTAAAGGAAATTTAATCTAATCCCATTGACTGTATTTCTCCCCTAAAATAAAGATGGACTCTGTAAGGGCAACTATAACACAACTGGTACCCGAGATACCCGATGACCAACTTGACGCACTGGTGACCCACCTTGTGGAGGAGGGATACAGTACAGCAAAAGACCTTCTATACTTGGAAGAACAGGACTTAAAGCCTTTCCTCAAGACCTTGCATATCAGGAAGCTTTTACATCTCATAAAATCTGGGTCCCAACTGCAAACTGAAAACTGTGCACTTCCCTCAACATCAGCAGCTTCAACACCGACAAACCCAGCGGCAGCCACGGCTCACCGCGCATCACAAGAGAGGGCTTCGAAGGACCGCTGGGCGAGTTCTTTTGAAGTGGATTGGGGCGCAATGCCTGCAGATCTGGTACGAACCTGCCAAGAGGAGAAGGTGCCAGAGCCTTACCTAAGACGAAAGATGGTCAAACTCCTGGGAGAAGCAATCGCAGTGCATGATCCGAAACCCAAAATCAAAGAAGTAAGCAAGATTGCCTCCCTGGTTGTGGCAAGATACCCACACTCCTTTGCTGACGTGATGTCGACAGGAAATATTATTGGTGACGGTACGTCATCTTTATCACGACAACTTGCTGTATACATGGATAACAGGCGTCGGCCACACAATGCTGCAAAACGAGGGCCGGGAAGAACTGAAGATGACGAACCAGAAGCGACATTATCTAAGCAAGGCAGACAAACAGACTCCCACGGTTGCGTGGCATGGGAGCCAGACTGTGCGCCATACACGTGGGACGATCTAGAGGTAATGAGGCAGCAGCTGTGCAAAGCCACCAATTTAGAGGAGATCTCCTCTACTATGAAGAAAACCTACGCACTGCAGAGGAGGCACATCAACTCCATGCAGCAAACACTCCTTGAAATTGCGGAGTCTTGGCCTCACCTCTTCAAAGAGCCACACTTCTTCGTTCATGTTGATACACTCCTTGGGTTTTCCTACCACACTGCCTTCACCACTGAGCTGACGTCGAAAGGAAATCAGCTCTTTGATGTCATGTGGAGAGCATGGAAGCCTCAGTCAAGGTCCCTCCTCCAGACAATCCAGAAAACTTTGGACTGCAATGGACAAGCGCCACCACGCTACACCTTTGTTCTTCAGCTCCTGACTACCTACTTCGACGAGAATCCAGAGGCTCTCATCTCATTTCACCCGGTGAGCTTGGTAATCTTATTCCATGAACTTGTTTAGTTATTCATAAATGTATGCAATCAATTGCAGAGGTCAACTCTGTGAGGCAGTGATCATCTGCTCTGTTGACTGCAATTCCTTGTGTGAAGTGCATAATACCACGCACAATATTGTTCATGGCATTTAAATATTAGCTGCAAAAAGTTTATTAATTTAATTTCTCGATTCTCAGCCTTGCTGACCAATTTTTTACCATGGAAGTATCTGTTTTCTTATCAATAACAAGTACACCATTAAATATTCTTGATTTTTGTATTCATTATAGCACTGAACAGCTGCCAGTGTTCTTGGCTCCTGCCCAGATACACCTCACCTTGCGGTCCTTGGTGAGATAGTTTTGCACTGCCTTTTAATTTTTAGATAATTAAGAAAATTGTGAAAGGAGTAGTGCAATTACAGTCTAAGCTCGTTATAATGGCCCTTGTTATTGACCAGGGCTGGGCTTTCGATAGTATGCTTGACACCATGGAAAATTACATTTAGGTACTGATACAAGATACAGACGCAAAGTCCATCTTTGATCTAAATGCTCCATGCAGTATCCTAGATGCTTCGATACATAGCTGAAATTCCATCGCAAGTATTTGGAAAGCAGGAAACCTGATTAATTTACATTGATTATAAACATTTCTCACCTGGATTTTATGGGTTCTGGTATTGATATTTTTCATAAACGTTTTTTGTTAGCTTTGCATGTTAGCTGCGGAGTCCAACAAGGTACCGTACTCGGCCGACTTATTTTTTATTTATATTAACAACCTTCCTGCACGTATCTCCTCTTTCATAGGCCTCTATGTTGACGATTGTGTTATTTATAAAGAAATTCTTAACGATTCTGGGTTAGGAGGCGATTTGATTGTGTTATTTATAAAGAAATTCTTAACGATTCTGGGTTAGGAGGCGAATTGATGGAGTGGAGGAAATCGAGAGATATCGGTCTAAGTCCACGATTGCACAAACACATAATCACACAAGGGAGTGAGGAGGAGGGGGAAGAAGGAATAAAGGGGAAGGAGGGTGAGGTGGATGGCAGAGTGGGAAGGAAGAGGGATATAGAGGAGAAGGGAGAGGAGGAGCAAAGAGGAGGAGACGAGGGAATGAAAGGGAGAAGGGAGGGGAGCTAGAAGGGATGGGGGACACGGGAGGAGGAGAGGTCAAGGGTCCAAGGTCAGGGTCACCTTTTACCTTGACAAACGCACAGCCAACAAGGGAGAGAGGAGGAAGACAAGGGGATGGGAGTGACGAGGGTAAACGGGGGATAGGGAGAGCTGGAAATGAGGAGGGCAGGGAACCAGGAAAGAAAGAGGCCAAATGCTACTGGCCACGATTGCCTTGATAGCTCTCTGCCGAGCTCAAAGGCACGCTTAGCAGAGATCTTGAAATTTTTATAGAACGTTTTGTTAATCCCGATGACGATACCCTTCCATTGCCCTTAAACGTGTTTCTTTAGTGGGTATCACTTTAGGACTGAAAATCCGGCTTACTAAAACCCTCTAATGATGATATATTGCATTGCATTAGTCCACTTATCGGCCTTCAACTGAGGAGATGTCAGTTCAACAAAGATGCCGGTGTTGTCTGTCTGCCCTTTTACAGAAGGTGTTACCCGACCCGTTCCCACAGTTCCAAAAAACAAAATTGTGCAATTTGCATGTACAGCTCACAAAATAGAAAGAAGGATAGCCTGGTTTTGCCAGAAAGAAAATGAACTGGAAGTGAGCTTTAAAAGTTAATGCTAATTTCTTAACTATTGGGTATCTCCAAAATACTCGATACTGTAAAAATGGGTATTAGGTACTGATACATTGATACATTTTTTCCTGGCAGGCAGTACCAGATACAAGGTACTCGACTGTCTCTGAAGTTAGTATTGGAGATACATGCATCTCTGATATCGCCGTGCCCTGGTTTTGACTACTATTTCGCTCTGTTGTAAAAAAGGATTATGTATTATTCAGATAGGAAGTTGAATCAGTGGTACAAATAGGAAAACCAACTGAGCTTCACAAATCAGTATGTTGTATCCAAGTTTCTGCTGCAACAAGATCTGTTGTAACGAGCTTGTACTGTATTCCAATGCAGAGCATCCATATTTCCTAGTTTACCTCATTGCAATGTCCTTTCTGTCATCCATTTGAACCGTTACGATTGCAATAAATTAACTACATCTGTAACATGTCGGTTTGATGATCATCACATCTTGCTTTTTTTTTTTTTTTTTACTTAGGTTCTACGCTTCTAGATGACCCTCTCCAGATTGCGCTGGTTGTTGACAGGGTGCTTGTGTTTGAGGCAAGCAGTCTCGAGGTCGCTCTCTGCTCGCTCCTGGGAGCGTATTTCGTCTTCAACATCAAGTACCCAAAGGAGGCCTCGTACACGCTGGAGTTCCTTCAGAGGTACAGATATGTCAGAATTCAGTGTTTGTTCATGGCAGGACTGGTGGTCGATTATGCTAGTGCACCGCAACCCTGAACATGTGGACCTAGACCTCGCACTGCAGAGTCCAGGAATCCACAGTCGGACTAGCGCCTCACCTGTTCTAATCTTGATAGGCATTATACTGGCATCTGTTCGTGTATCACTACTGCATGTTGGCTCTAAAGGCCTCGGGTTAGCAGCCATACTGCACGAGATATTTTGCTGCGCAGTGTGAACCAGCCACCGACATGTGAAAGTCAGCCCAAAGGCAGGCTGTATAAACACGCACAAGGACATCTCGACATCTTTCACCCAAGAATGTGAGTTGTTCATGTTCAATTGACATGCGTTTCTTTGACCTCTTATACAGGCATTTTGGCCAGATAAACCCATCTAAAGGTAGCAAGTCCAGCTCCCGTGGTCACAACAAGGTCAATGGAATCCCAGCCAGAATTCTAGGTCTGCTGAACAAGATTCGTTCACTCTAATGGTGTGTTTTCTATTTTCGTCTTTCCCTCTTATATTTTGTGATGCTTGATTTTTGCTATTGCAGATAAAAATTTGTTTTATCGGATCAAAAAAAAGAAAAAGACGTTTACAACACCCCGTAACGCCGAATTAGAGCATAGCTCTTGAGGAGGAAGAGGGGAGGGTATACCCTTCCTCCTCTCCTCCCTGTCCCTCCTCTGCTCCTCATCCCTCTTCCCTTCTCTTCTCTTCTCCTCTTCCCCTCCTCCTCCCCTCGTCCTCCTCCACACGTGTTGCATCATGGGAAAGGTCCTATAATGCACCGCGCAGTTACGGCGACGCCGACGCCGCTGAAGCCGGTAAAGAGGCGCCCAAGAGCTGCGCTGGAAGGAATTCCTTTAATTCGATTTTCTTTTTCTAATTTGACCGATGGGGATACGAGACTAAAGGCGAAAATGTTTCTAAAAGTTCCTGTACTGCCTTCAGTTCTTACAAATGGTACACAATATAAAAGAAAAAGCAAGGACATATGCGGCAGCCCTGCAGCATAAATTAAAGAGACAGTGTTTTATTTATAGTGCTAGATGGAATTAAAATGATAGACAGATTAGATAACTTGATTTTATATATATTATTCATATTAGGTACAATGAAGGCTCGCATACCGCCGCCTACCATTAGAATCTTGAGGTCCTTGTAAATTTACAAAAATATTTGTTAATCTATGTTTTAATTGTTACAGCGAGGGCCAAAGGAATCTAGCCCACAAATTTATATACATCGCAAAAATCAGTAAAAATAATTTGGGTTATGTGGATAGTTATACAGCGTGTAGTTAGTCAGCCATTTCAAAGTTGTGACGAATAACTCGCTGTAGATGAGCGATTTAGCCAGTGCAGTAGAACCGCTAGCCTGCGGTCTTTAACAAGCACACGCAGTAGTGAGACACGACCGCATGCGGGTACGATGCTCATCCAGTTCAAATGAGCATGTGTGGGGATTTAACCCAGGATCCCTAAGTTCTGCAGTGCGAGCTCTCGCTCCACATGCTCCGATCTGGTGTGCGCTAGCCGACTTGACCCCCCCCCAAAAAATCAGTCTCGCTTGCTACGGTAGTGTGGTTTGTGACGTAGGTTCAGCTAGGTTGTGGATTTGTTTTGTTAAAATAGTACCAAAGAAAACACTTACCTCAGCAAAGAGTTACAAATAAAAACAATATATTTGTTATGGACCAACGTGGTTTTGAGCTTATTCAGATTGGAGCTTGAAAATGTTGTGGGCCAATGGGACGTTCGATTTAGCTCAAACATTGAAGGTAGGAACGAAGACACTTATTACTTCGCTCTCATCACCCGGTTTGTCTCGTATATAGTTTAGTGCCCCTCAACCGCGTTTTTAAACTTCCACCTGAGACAGCCTTGATTCCATGTCTGTCCATAGGAAACCTATTGTATTTATTTGTAACATTTGACCGGGGCAAGTTTCTCCTTCGAAATTTTTATAAAAGAAATCCACCACCTAGCTGAACATACCGTAGAATACCGTGCATCCGCCCACTCTCCACTAAGTGCCCATTCCCAAATTTGTAATATCTGACAAAGTCTGCGCAGTACGTTGAAATGTAAAATTAATAACCGGAAAAGCGCCCATCTCCCATTTTTTTGCGATTATGTCTAAATATTGAGTGGGCGCTTGCCCGGTATTTTACAATACGTCACAAATTACAGTGCCGCTTCTCGCGAAAATGGGTTAGATTCCCTTTGGTTCTCGCTGTAGAATGTTTAAAAATTGGAAGACTTTATTTGTTTTTCATAGTTTATATGTATCATCAACCTAATTACTTTTTATATGCCATATTTTTAGAGTGATTCAGTGGGCAGGTTTCATATGTTGCCCTAGTAGTCTTAAAATAGTCTCGTTTTCACCTGTAGCATATGTGACTTGTTGTAATTTGCGGATGATTTCTAAAAGATCCTAGAACACAATACCTGGCCTTGAGGTGTTGCGATCAACGAAAACTGCATTTTCTCAGACAAGCGCAGGTTTCCTCGGAGAGAAGCACAAGATGAGCCGTTGACAAGTCTTCTCTTTTCAACTGACCAAAGCAGTGTTTTACTGGAGCTGAGCTATGGTCTCTTTAAAAGTGGTCTTTGTTTTATTCGTCACAGACATTATTCGCCACATTAGTTTTTTTTTTTATGCCTCTGTTCTGTAATATCAATTAGTTATAAACTAAAACTGCATTTTCCCTGATAAGCGCAGGCTTCCTCAGATGAAAGCGTAGGCTGGGGTCCTGACAAGTCATTCTTTTTTTAACTGGTCCGGGCACATCGTTTTTATTGAAGGTAAACTATGGTCTTCTGCAAGTGTCTGTTCCTTATTCATCACAGACATTATTCGCTGCACTAGATTTTTCTTCTCTTCTGAAATGTCAATTGGTTTTCAACTAAATCTGAATATTCCCCGGCAATTGCAGGTTTTCTGCACGTAAAGCGCAAGATGGAGCGTGGACAAGTTTTTTGTTGTTTTAATCGTCCAAGGCATGGAGTTTTACTGAAGGTGAGCTATGGTCCCGTTACAAGTGGTCCATGTTTTATTCGTCAGACATTCACTGCATCAGGTTTTGTCTTGCTCCTCTTGTGCAATATCAACTTAAAACTCTATTTTTCCTGACAAGCGCAGGTTTCCTCAGACGAGAGCGTAAGCTGGGGTCCGGACAAGCTGTTATTTTTTTTTTTTTAAACGGCCCGGGCACGTTGTTTTATTGAAGGTGAGCTATGTTCTTCTTTAAGTGTCTGTGCCTTATTCGTGACAGACATTATTTGCTGCACTAGATTTATCTTCTGAAATGTCAGTTGGTTTTCAACTAAATCTGCATTTTCCCTGGCAATTGCAGGTTTTCTGCACGTAAAGCGCAAGATGGAGCGTGGACAAGTTTTTTTGTTTTTTTAATCGTCCAAGGCATGGAGTTTTATTGAAGGTGAGCTATGGTCCCATTACAAGTGGTCTGTGTTTTATTCATCACAGACATTATTAGCCGCATCAGGTTTTATCTCGCTCGTCTTCTGAAATATCAATTGGTTTTCAACTAAAACTGCATTTTCCTGTTAAGCGCAGGTTTCTTCAGATGAAAGCGTAGACTGGGGTCCGAACAAGGTGTTCTTCTTTTAACTGGCCGGCCCAGGCACATTGTTTTATTGAAGGTGAGCTATGGTCTCCTACCCGTCTTACTTCTCACAGACATTATTTGCTGCCCAAGATTTTTCTTCTCTTCTGAAATGTCAGTTGGTTTTCAACTAAATCTGCATTTTCCCTGGCAATAGACCCTTTCCGAAATTCTGTCTGGCTACTTTGATCACTATCATCATCTGTGGAACAGCATCTGTGCCATACCAATGGCGGTCTTCTAGTGACTGATAAAGGAAGACGTTGAAGATGATCCTAAGCGGATCTTGCGAGGCCTGTATTCGGGGGGTCAGTACGACGCGACGTAGGAATGGAACACAAGAGCTACGTAAGCGTTTATTTCTAATAACTCAGATTCAGTCACTCTGTGGGCGGCATACAATCGGCTTTAAAGCACACTGGTGTAGGGAATTTTCTCGAGGCATCTGAGTGGGTTGGAGCTTAATTCTGAATGCAAGTTCTTGGTCACCATCGAACTGAACGTGATCGAGAAAGAACTCACACCGAACAATTCCTCGCGTGCCGTTGACTTGCGAAAGCGACGGTGCCGATACAAGTTTGTTTCCGCCATTGATATGGCAAAACCTAAACTGCTTTACAAACCACCAGATGGCACTGAATTTCGGAAAGGGTCTATTGCAGGTTTCCTGCACGTAAAGTGCAAGATTGAGCGTAGACAAGTTTTTGTTTCGTTAATTGCCTGAGGCCCAAGGCACGGTGTTTTACTGGAAGTGAGCTGTGGTCTGTGTTCTATTTGTCACGGACATTACTTGCTGTATCATATTTCATGCCTCTCTCCTGCAATGTCAATTGGTTTTCAACTAAAACTACATTTTCTGTGATAAGCGCAGGTCTCCTCAGAGGAAAAGACTAGGCGCCGAGATGTGCTGGCCTTCCTTTATGGTCCAGACCAGTTGTTTTCATCAAGGTGAGCTGGTCTCTCTTTGCAGATCGAGCAGGATTATTTGTATTGTGTGCATGTCAGGCTCACCTTGTTTTGTATTGTTTCGACAGCCTTGTGCTTAGCTTATGACTATATACATCTTTCTTTTGCATATGCAGGGAGCATTGAGATAGCCCTACACCTCGGAAGAAGTACCCATAAAAGAATTTTAGATATAATAAAGAGCTATTACAATTTCACTCGTTTTTTGTTGTTTAAATTAAGCTCGAAGAAAACAGCTACAAAGAGCTAAAGAAAAATAATTTACAAACAACCGACCAAACTATTTTGCATTTTCACTGCTGTCTCAATTCTGAACCCTTTCTCAAGGGTGTTTATGTTGTGAGAATTTGCTGCCGATATGATGCCTTAATTTGATCCGGCCAGCTTGAGCTGCACTTTAGAAAACCTCCAGGTCGCTCTGGTCTGTTGCAACTCTAGAACAGCAAGAGGAAGCCCCTCCCACAGAGCCCGCCACTCTTTCAACATAAGCAGAGCGGAGGCTGGAGAGCAGGGGAGTGGGGAGGAGAAAACAACCAATCATGGTGCAATGGTGGTTTCCTTCTCTCCACTTACCTATTATTCTTGGCTTGCAACAGATTTTAGCAGCTCACAGCTGTGTCTGCAGGTGCATCATATGAGAAACACTAGCTAGTTGCTGTTTTGCTGCACCCTATCTCACCTATTTTGAAGTTAAAGTTTCTGTGCCAATTATTTTCTCTTCATTTTAGACAAAGCAGCAGAGCTGCTCCAAAGTGCATAAATTTACTATTGCATTGCATTGCAATCCCCATAGTATATGGCTCACGTTTCCAGGTGCATCAATGACCCTGAAGTTATATTTCAGAATATCGTTGCACAGAAACTTGTGTAAGTGAAAAATATTGGACAGCAGAACATGAGCTACTTCAGTGCCTCAGCTAAAAAGAGATGTAGAAACAAATATTTTGTAAAAAAGAAATGATGAAATGCTTGGCAGCTCTATTAAGAGGGGTTGCCCATTAAAATGCTAATGTGCCCCCATATTGTGAAAATATGTGAAAAAAGATGTCGTCAATGCAACGGTACCCATTTTACCGAAGTGCAAGGTTGCTTGTTAAAATTATGTGCATGCATAATTTTAATGGGCATCCTTATACTTCGGAAGAATGAGTATTGTCATATTAACGACTTTTTTCACATTTTTTCAAAATATGGGGGCACGTTAGATTAATGTTATAATACCCATTTTTTCAGAGTATAAGGATGCTCATTAAAATGATGTGTACACATAAGTTTAACGAGCATCCTCGTATTTTGAAAAAATGGGTATCGTTGCATTAACGTCCCTTTTCACATATTTTCTGAATATGGGGGTGCGTTATTTTAATGAGCATCCCCTCTTAATAGAGCTGTCAAGCATTTTCTCGTTTTTTCTACGAAAGATTTTTTACAGTGTGGGCTTCTAGAAAACGTCGCTCATCGCCTTGATCGCTCGCACCAATCGCTTTCATAATGTGTGTCTCGTCGCGCAGCTGACTACCGTGTTTATTCAAATATATGTCAACCTTTTCTTTTTTTTTTTCCGGAAATTGTGACTAAGGAATTTCGACCTACATTCGCGACCAAATTTTGCGACCGTACTGGAGGCATGAAGCTATCGAGTCACCGAGCCGGCGTTGCCGTAGAGCTGCGCCGCTTCTTGTTTCCAAAAGCTTTTGTTAAACAACCGAAAACAACAGCGGTGGCTGGTGCCGCTATCGCGCGCACCTCTTGGGGCATTAGATTTCGCCATCGCACCTCTAGCGTTCCCCTTGCTGGGCAATGGGGAAGGAGAGGAACGCGATGCGCCATGCACTTTGTCCTCCATCCTCGCAAACGCGCACAAAAAAAGAAAAAAAAAAGATGTTACTTTTGTTAGTTGCTTGAGGCGGCTCGGCTCGCGTGTTGCTCATGGCGACACGGCGGCTTTGTTTGCGTCTTTGTAGTTTGTCTTTCGTTGCTTCGCACCTTCTTTCGTTTCTTGTCGTCATTTTACAACGGTGTCAGTGAAGTATTGTGGCGGATTTGCGAGGATGTCTACCAAGCTGTGAAGTGATGTAAATAAAGGTTTCTTTCTTTTGCCCAAAATTTTCCCTGTTCTTAAAAATAAAAAAAAAGTCGACCTATATTTGAATTGTTTTTTTTTTATTCTCGGTGTGTCCAACAAATAGAGTTCGACCTATTTTCGAGTAAATACGGTAACTTTAATTTTTATTTTGGGTTACGTCGGACGTAACTCGAATGCTTGACAGTTACGTTGGGCGTAACTTTAATTTTTATTTCGGGTTCCGTCGGACGTAACGTTAGACACTGCGTTACACTTAAGAAAAATAGGGGCTGATGGTTCATCATATAAACCAACCATTTGTGTTTAATTAAAGCGAATCACTGGCCTAAAAAAATACTGCTGTCCTATAGGAATGTAGCGCTTCAGATAAATTCGTTAATTTTTGCTTTTAGTCTCTGCCCCACCAGATACAACATCTGGCCTAAAGCAGTGTTCCGGATCTCCTTCCAAGACCTCAGGCGGGTCGTCATTCAATCCAGGAGGCGGCGGCGTCTCATGGGCGTGTTGCTGGTGCTTCTTACTGGATGGTGCTACCGAGGGAAAAGTGGTCGTGCTTGGGAAAGGCAAGTATGGCCGCCGTAAGTATAGATATTGTTTTTACCTTTGCTCGAACCCACCTTTAAGAAATGCACAGTTCGCATGTGTGCATCTCTCAATGCTTCTACAGTCGGCTGTTAATATTTGGAGTGCTCCAACTCTGTCAGCGCTAGTTTCTCTAGATTATGCAAATGGGATGCAACACTAAACCACATATGCTCTCGCAACAAAAACAGTGCTCTGCTGAAGCACGCACTGTGGAATCTACTCTGGCTTTATAATGCAGCACAAAATAGTTGACGCCAAGTATAGCTACTTTTGTGACTCCGTTTTACCAAAAGCTCTGCCGAAATAAACTTGCCACTTCATACGTAGTGCAAAAGAACCTCGCGTGCCTAACCTGGAGAAGGGCATTTTTTTCATATGTAAATTTTTTCTTAAACCAATACCTTCAGCCTCCTTGAAATGTTAACATCATGTGGCACTCAGAAGAACAGTAAACCCCTTAATGTTGGCGAACCTTTAATTTTCGCGGCCTTTAATTTTGCGGAATTCAGTGGCTGCGATTGTGTCCTCTGTGACCGAATCGAGAAGAAATAGGGGCTACCAAGATAAGGGAGTTTTACTGTCCATCGGAGGAGAGAGGAAGTCACCTTTGTTTGTATGCAAGAGTAAAACCAACAACAACAATCATGGTGCCGACACTTTGTGAGCCTATCTGTGTCTATTGAATGATATCAATTTTGTTTTTGTTCGTTAAAAATTGTTGCCTGTCCACTGTGGGATGTCGTCTTCAACACGAGCAGTGGTTTTCCTCTGAAGCAGGCAGCATGGACGCGTGCCGCAGCACAACATAGTTTATTTGCAGGTGGTACCGCAGTTTGAAGGATGGTTCGCACAATATGGGGGAATCGCAATTCAATGTTCTACCTCGGGCGTAGACAAGATTTGCTCATTCCAAATCATTTTGTCTACAAATCGGGAACTTGCAACGAATGTACCCGCATGGTTGGAAGGGCCAGACAAGCCTTGCGAGCGCTTCGTTTTCTAGCCTCTCAGTCCTGAACCTACTCACGCACCACATGTGTAGATGTTCCGGTACGTGGGAGCACTTATTTGGAAAATGGTGAATGGCAACTGTTGTTATCTTTAAGGTGGACTGCATATTTGCAGTACTTTTCCTCACTTAAAAATATGTCTTACTAAAAATATGTAGTATAGCCGATGACAAAAAGAGAATGGCTGGGCGTCCTCCAGCACATGCTTGTGCTTTTCACCCCGCTTTAGACAGATGTGCTCGCTCCAGGCTCATCAGGCGCTGAAACGTCATCGAAGGTAGCAGACGGGCTGGAGGTCGAACAACGGAGACTTCTCCCTGCCTTTCTGATGGTGTCAGTGAGCATGTACTTCTATACTCTAACT